GGGCGCCTGCCTGGCGTGGAGCCCTGGAGCCCTCTGGGGGAAGGGCATGAGAGGGGAGGGGTCCCAGGGAGATACTTGGCCCGAGGCTGCAAGCGCCCCCCGCCCCCCCCCACCCGGGCCCTGCCCCTCGCATGGTATCCAGCATCCGTGAGGGGTGAGAGGTGGGCCGAGGTCCTCGGGGACCAGGCTGGGAGGGTGTGGGTGTCTGGGGGGAAGGTGGGTAGCAGGGCTGCTGCAGGTTTGAACGGACCCCCAGGTGACACTGTCCACGCAGCTGAGGTCTCCAGGTGGGAAGAGTCAAGGCCCTGGAGACGTGGGGGAGGACATGGGCTGGGGTTCCAGGAGGCTTGGGGGCAGGGCTGTCCCCAGTCCCCGCGGGAAGGGCGGGGTGGTGATGGGGAGAAGCCCCCCGTCTCTGGGCCTCTCGCCCATGCTAGGGGGCTGTTTCAGGGAAGCACGGGTCACCTGCCCCCCGGGGTGCGGCCTACAGTGTCCGGAGGTCACACCCGGGGCTTCGGCCTCCCAGGGGCTGGGGCTCCGGGCCCCTGGGCCCCTGACAGGAGCCCTCCAGGGGCGCCCCCGAACGGACTCCTGCACCTCCCAGGCCCCAGTGATACCAGGCGCCTCCAAAAGTAAGCGCAGGGAAAGGGGAAGTTATCCACCAGGACTGTCCTTGGGTTAAGAGCCACGGCGTGGGTGGAAGCTGGGAGGAAAGCGGCTCCTCCGGAAACGCCTCGCCCGGTCCCTGGAGCCGCGGGAGGGGCCTGCCGCCGGCAGCGCTGATGGGGGCGGGGCCGAGCCCTCCCCCGTGCAGCCACAGCACCCCCGCGGCCCTGCAGACGCCGCAACCACCGCCGGCGGGGCCTTCCTCCCCCTGAGCATATCCCTCTTTCCTCCTCCCCTCCCCCTCCCCCTCCCCCCTCCGCCCACCCTTTTCAGGCAGCGAGGCCCTAAGAGGGGAGGGTGGAGGGGGAGCCCTCCTGCAGCCCCTCCAGCCACAACCAGTGTCGGGTTGTGCCCGGACTCCCAGGGCACATCTCCCCCCACTGCCCCCAGCCTGTGAGACCCTCTCCAGGGCCTTGTGGGGTTGCTGCCATCCTGCCCCTGCCAGGGGCCAGGGCCCCTCAGACACAGGGCGCACTCCAGGAAGGACAGCAGGGCTACGGCCCAGGACCCTTATGGAGGGGGGATGAGAGGAGTGGCAGGGGCAAGGAGGTGAGAGCAGAGCTCCCCCCCCTCCCGCTCTGGTCTCCAGGCCAGGCGCCTGGATGGTGATGCCCCCCATGGGCGATTCTGCCGATGGGTGATGCCCCCAATGGGTGATGCCCCCGATGGTGATGCCCCCCGATGGGTAATTTCCCCGATGGGTGATGCCCCCCGATGGGTAATTTCCCCGATGGTGATGCCCCCCAGATGGGTGATGCCCCCCAGATAGGTCATGCTCCCATGGGTGAGGCACCATCTGGTGTGGGCACGTGGGGAGCATGGACATGCCCTGAGGACAGTGTGGACACCTTGGACCTTGGCCCCTGGCCCTTAGCACAAGCCCACCCCTGCAGAGCATGAGGGTGAGGGTGTGCCTTGCCGTGGGCAGTGTATCCCTCATCATCTCCTCTCCACTTGCTCACAGCACTGTGTCCACACAGTGAAGGTGGCCAGCGGGTGACCCCACGCTGCACCCCATGCTGCCAACCAGGTGGCAGCGCCCCAGGCAGCCCGCTGGTGCGATGTCCAGAGCACACAGAGCCAACCGTGCCAGGCCTGGCACTGCACCCATGGTCCCCGGGGCTGTCGGGGGAGCTGGTCCTCCCTGGCCGGCTCTGGGCAGCTCCAGGGCCCAAGCGCGGCCCCCTCTGTTGGCGAGGCGACGCTGCAAGGAGGCCTTCTGGTCTGAAGTGACCGCGTGGATGGCATCCCAGAGGGCCGTCCTGTGGCGACCATCCCCATGGCTGTGGTCGGCAGGCCGATTGGATGGCGCTGCCCTTCGGGGCAAAGTCCGCTTTACCGAGTGCTGATTCTGTGGTCTGAAACGGCACTTTCTGGGAAACACTGTACATTTATAATTGCAAACATGGATTTTCAGGGCACAAAGGGCTTTTCCCTGTGTTTCCTGGTTCGATGTTTTCTCCGACTCAGGGGTAGGTGGGCAGAGCTTACCCCCATTGTCCAGGTGGGGAAACCAAGGTGGGTTATCGTGCCCAGAGCCACACGGTGGGTGAGAGACCCATGGAGACAGACCCAGGCCGCTGCCCACGGCTGAGCCCTTGCCGCTGAATGGACACCTCCCAGCCCCACCAGGGCCACTCAGACCCACGGCAGGGTGAGCTGCCCTCCACAGGCTCTGAAAACTCCTCTTGATAGAACTTCCTAGACCAGAAGGGCCCAGAGGATGGGGTGACATGGTGGCCCCGAGGACAGGGCGACATGGGGAGCGTCCCAGGAACCTGGCCTCCCAAGCGATGGTGGTGGGTGTTTCCAGAATGTCCTGCTGCTTCCCGGCTGTGGGTGACAGAGAGCCGCCTTCACTTATAAACACCAAAGACCCAAACCCTCTTAGCATCTGTTGAACAAAACCCTTTTGATTTCTTTTTAATGCCTCAACTATTAAGTGAATTTTCCTTCCAACTTAGAGCATGATTCATCAAGGAAAATGTTTTCCATGGTTACACATGTGGTTTCCACGGCAGGGCGACCGTGAGGATGTCGGAGCTGACGGGGGTGCCAGACTGGCCAGGCTCCTGTCCCTGCCCTCAGCGTGGACCAGCCTCTCCCTCCTGTCCCCTCTCCTGGCCAGCTTGACTGTCGGGTCCAGCGGTCTGGCCCCAGGCACCGAGCACAGGGTGGTCCTGTCTCCCAGCTCTGACTGCAAAATGAGTCAGCTGGATGGGAAGCAGCCAGTGGTCAGAGAAGGTGCTGGGGTCGGGGGGAGCCGGGATGCCTCCCCCACGGGCTGAGAAGTGTGGACCGGTCACGGCCAGGCTGGCCGCCCAGGTGGAAGCCCTGGCATGTGGGGCGTCTGAGTCACAGTGACCTGCAGGCGGGACCCCTTAGGTGGTGACTCATGTCCTAAGTGACAGAGAGCTTGCACCAGCTGGCAGCAGGAAGGCAAACCACCAGAAAAAGAGGCCAGGATGGGAAAGGCAGTGCCCACAGACGTCCACGCGTGCTGGCCGCTCCAGGGGACGGGAGGGCTCCTGGGCTCTCGCCTGAGGAGTAGCTGGGGCACACCCACCAGGGAGTGTGGTGGGTCCCCACCCCTCCGCATCCCAGCTGCCCCGAGAAACTCGATGAGTCTGTCTGGCCTGTGTCCCGGGGCCACGCGCTTTGGCCTGATTTACTCTGTCCTGTTGCTGAAGAGCAGAGAGTCATATTCCCTGGTCGGTTGGAATCAGACATAGAGGCTGTGGTTGTCGTTTGAAAGAAACACTGAAAAAGGAAGGAAAGGGGGGGGAGGGGGAGGGGAAAGCGGGGGAGAGAGGAAGGGGTGGGGAAAGGACCCTCTGGACAGACCGTCTGTGATGGACGCCGTGCGGGGGCCGTCCCAGTGTCCGGGGTGGTGGAGCTGTGGCCACTGCCCGTCTAATAACTGGTGAAACGTGAGGCCCGAGGGTCATCCCCCCAGGTCCCACTGTGACAGCGTAGGAGCAGGGCTGCCCACACCCCGTCCGAGGCTGGCCAGGCCCCCGGAACGCTTTGTTTCACCAAGTTCCCAGGGACCTCAGCAGGGGACGCATCTTGTCTTTAGGGAGGTGCCCCCCCAGGCTTTGTAAAGAGAAGGCATTTCTTTGCCCTGAGTGGGCTGGGGAGGGATGGGCACAGGGTCCCCGGAGAACAGGCCGAGACCCGGCGACCCAGCTGTGGGTCTGGAGGGGTTAATGTTCTCCCAGCTACCTCATGCTGGCCTCCGCTTCTGTGGAAAACGCAAAACATCTGGCAGTAAAGTGTCTTTAATGGCATCTGAGGCTGTGGGAGAAGCTTGGCCTTCCTTGAAAACAGAAGATTTAGATGAAATTGGGGAGCCCGGGGGAGGGGCTTCTCAGGAAGCGACAGCCCCGGGCAAGTCAAGTCCTGCTCTGCTGAACTTTGGGGCAGGGGTCCCAGGGGCAGGGGCCCCAGGGGCATGGCCAGCCCTGTCCTGGCCCCTCTGAGTTGCGGTGAGGCTCCCAAAGGGCGAGGGTCTTGTGTGGGCTGCAGGTCCTGCCTACCCCCCGCCAGACTCCCTGCACCCACTTCCCCCAGCCTCAGGGTGGGGCTCCCTCTCTCACGGCGAGGGCTGGGACTCCCACCCACAGGGCTGCCCTCGGCAGTGGTCTGGGGGCCAGGCCGCCCCTGCAGGTCCTCTTCCCTTCCCCTCTGCTGCCTCGAGGTGGGTGGGAACTGGGGCCCGATGTGGACACTGGCATCTGGCTGTGGGGCCAGGCTGGTCCCTGATGACGTGAGCTAACCCCACACTAGTGGGCACAGGACTAAGGGTCCTGGCCATGGGCCTGTGCCCCTATGTCCCAAGTCACACAGCGGGTGAGGGCAGAGGGAGAGGGTGGGCCCTGCCCCGCCGCTGACAGCCCCCAGACCGCTGGACCCCAGGGAA